AGCAGCAAGACCTCTTGTCTGCACAAACCATTCAATTAAGTAATAAGCTACGCATGCGCCTGCCTTATCATAATTAAGTTGCACAATGGGGAAGAGGGAGTATCAAATTTTAGAAAAACACTGAATATAGCATGGCAGAAAATATATGCATGACAGCGCATTCTACGAAACCTAGATAGGCCTTAGGATTCACCATACGAAAGGATATTCCTCGGTTATTGATTCTGGTAGTATCAAATAACTATAGCATTTTTCAAATCAAATAATCACACTATTTGTTAAGCAAGAAAAAAGAAACAACTAAAAGAAAGGGAAAATGACATAATAATTTCACTTCCTGTTATTAGCTTCTAACTGCTCAAATCTACCAAATGATTTTCTCATCTTTAACCTGATTTATTCAGGACTTTGTTTTTTGCAAGAAAATAACACAACTACCAAAGAGAAACCCCCTAAAGAAAAGACTTAAACTCATTTAAAGAGTTTTTAGCACTATGTTTTTATATGAAATGATGTTCTTGCATACATGGGCCCAACATTTCATCAGTAAATAGTGCAGAGTATTTGAAACATAAATTCAACTGCATAACCCAACAATCAATCACCGAGCAACAAAATGCAGAGAAAAAACTGTTACCTCCTGGATTCCACAAGGAGGGCACGCTGTTCAAGATTATTTTCTGAGCTTGCATCTGACTCACCGGCTGTGTAGCTGTAAATAGGTTCAACCAAACCACATTGCATTACAATGTTAATAGTCATACTAATGTGTTCAAATCAAATCAAATCCAAGAGTAAATAATATTCTCAAGTAAATCCAAGGTAGTCAGTAATCAACAAACACTCCAAGCAAATAACTTATATCAGAAGGAACAACCCAACATGTTTCTTTGGGCGAATAGCTTGCCTCTTTTCCATATCTCTCTCCTTCTGATGAAACGGAATTACATTCCTCTTTTATCTCTTTTTCAGGAAAAAGAGAACAAAAAAAGTACATATGTTTATAATGAACCTGACATACCTAGAAGGTAGAACTGCCTGGGGAACAAACGGTGTATATGCTGTTTCCCTCTCAGCTGCAAGTCGTTGAGCCTTCTGAAATTCTTTCAACACTGCTTGAAAATCTTTTGCAAGCTTAGCATCTGCAATTTTCTTGCTGGCCTGCAGCATTATCACATCGTCTGAGAAAGTAGGAGACGGATAATTCTCAAGTTACTAATGTAGTTACTAATGTAGGTACTAATATAACATGTCCTAACTTACAGTCATACTCTATCATTGTTGATGGATCAGATTAACACTTATTCCAATTCTCTACTACAATATAGGAATATTTTGTTCTTGCTATGAAAGTAGGAATTGGCATCCTAGCTTAACATTTCATCACTGCCAGGGGGGGACTTTTGGAGAGAGAGGTGGGTGTTTAGAAAAAAGTCTTACGTTAACTCCAGCGTGATGATCTATTTCACTGGCTTGTTTAAGTTTAGCAGAGGTGTCTTTAACCAACTGTCCAATATGTAACCTGGTCTTGTGCCTGCAAGATGTCAACAAAGTATTAAAACATTTTCCGATGGGAACAAAGATTAACATGGAAATGTAGACTATAGTAGTGTCTCTAAGATAATTGACAAGGTAAGTTTAACTACTCAATGAGGATCAATGAAATGTCAGTTGAAAAGGCCTGTGGTCATTTCAAATTAAAATTATAGAAGTTACGACAATACATGAGCACAACCCATCATACTGACAATTGTATTAAAAGAGCACAAAAAATTCAATGATGAAATTACTAGAGATCCTAGGTATTTTGTAATTTATCCATTTGAACTGAATATTGATGGGAAAGATGTATATGTGTAAGCTAGTGGAAATATCATAGTCCTCATACTACGTTAGAAATGCTACAAATGATCTATGTATATCATTTTAACAGAGATTAATTGGAACAAGAGGAATACAGGAGCGATTTATTTTTATTATTTTACAAGGCCAAATACTACTGATGCTATTCATACAAGACACCTACACATTTATTAGTTGTACAGGCATAGTCTTTACAAAAGCAACCATGAAGACAGTTATCAGTTCTTTTTTCTCCATAGCTACCAAATGTGGGGAAAATTTCTGGAGACCTTTTAAGCCAAGTAAGATTTCCCAGGAGTACTAATGAAGATATCAAACAACTTCCTTGTCAGTCAAATTCTTAAGAGAAAGGGCTAAGATGTGTAGGTTAACTCTCCGCCGGCTACTTTATGGAAGATTTAGCAAAGAGGAACCAAAAAATTTCAAAGATATGTCCAATTGGCGAGAAGCAAAATTAAGAATCTGTGAGTCAATGCATCTATGGCAATAATTTTGGGTGGTCAAGATAAAGAGAAACCCGTTCTTTTGTAGTTCGTTTGAGCCCGGTTCCCTCAATCCCAGCCCCTATGCAGAGTAAAGTTTTGCTTCTTATCTAAAAAAATTGAAGAAACCCAAATCAAATATGACGAAGCAAATGGAATAGCTATACATGGAAACTCCAAGCGAGTGGACCCATTGGTATATCAAATGGCTCAGGCTACACAAAACTGAGAGACAAAAACTAAAAGCTCTAGAAACTTCATGGCGAAGAAATTTAAGACTAAGATACCCGTTCGCTGAGGATGTTATGGCACTATTCCAAAAAAATGGGTATCCCCCATGCAGATCTTCTCCACGGTCAGGATTCTTTTTTTCATAGAGAATCCCTCCACCAGGGGAGAACAAACGCCAAGGATAACGTACAAGACAAAACTCAAAAGAAACCCAAAATTTCTTAAAACAGACGAAAATTGCCAAAAATGCAACAATCCATACAAAATGGCAAAGATAACATCAATAACTCATAAAATTAAGGAAACCTAACAGAAAATGAAAAAAAATGAAAACAATTACACAACTCACAGCTTCTCGCGTAGCTCGGGAGTATCCTTCGGCGTTCCCAAGGTGTTAACAAGCCTCTGAAACGTAGCGACGGCAGTATTAATCTGAAAAATACCCGAGGCAACGGCTTGCGTGGGATCTTGTTTGCCATTGACGAGGTCTCTCCTCGAAGAAGCAAACGGACGACCAGCCTCGATATCTTGAAAGCTCATGTCGCCGAGATCCCAACTTTTCCAAAGAGAGAAAAACAGAGAGAGAAACAGAGAGAAACAGAGAGAACGAGAGATCAAACCAAAATTCAAGAAGAACAAATTCTCCCCTGGAAATAAGGATCCGGGACCAAGATGAAGGCGTCGTTCCTGTGGACGAGGATCAGAGGAACCCTCAAATCAAATTGGGGAAAAGGGGCGAATTAGGGCAATGGAAGATTGGCCTATGAGGAATTCGCAATGAGAATGCGAGAGGAATTCAACCTTTTAGAGAGAGAGAATCGATGATGATGATGATGATGATGATGGCGGCGATGGAGGAGAGAGAAAGCAAATAATGAGGTGTAAGAGTTTTGTTACGCTGTGACGATCAACATAATGATCCCCTTATTCTCGACACGTGTATGGCTAAGATCCCTCTGAAATTCCCGCGAGAAAAATGAGGAGATTTTAATATTTTAATTCCAATTATAATAATTTTATTTTATATTTCACCGGAGATACTTTAGATTAAGTAATTTTAATTATAAAAACCATAATAAATAAATAATGTTTTTAAATTTAATTTCATTTAGAACTTAATTAATGAAAATAAATAATGTGTAGGTTAAACAAACACGTGTTATTATTGAAATAATAATTTATTATTTGAAACTAATTAATAAATTTATTTTAAAATTCAATTAACACAAGTTTATAATTTTAAAATAATAATTAACTTAATTAAATTAAAATTATATTCATGGAATAAATAACATGGGAAATAAAAATAATGTTTTTCAAGTTAATCTCTATTGATTAAAAAATTAATTTGTTATTATTTTTTAAAAATTCAATTAAAATTTTTTATTTAAAATCAATAAAATAAGTTTTTATAAGAAAATAGTATTTTAAGCTCAAATTATAGTGAATTATATTTTTTTTATGTAACGACCCTGGGTCGTGTGTAATTAGTAAGTGTAGCAGCTATCATCTCTCTCTATCTCTCTCTCAAGTTTTTTCCCGCTCGCTTAGTCTCGATCTCTTTCCTCCTCGACACAACACCTCAAATGTCACTGTCTTCTCTATATGATCGTCTATCAATCAATTTCCATCATCGTCGTTCTTGCCCTAGACACAAAAGAACAACATTTTCTTTTGGGTTTTTTATGGAGATAAACGAAGTTGCAACGTCGTTTGTCGATGTCCAATGATTAAGAGCACTCAAAGGATGATGCCCCTGTCGTGGTTGCCTGTGGTGCACATTTTTGTTATGAAGCGCATGGAATTAGTACATCTCGATCTTGATTCTTGTATAACCCGTAACGGTAATTCTCATTTTTTAGTTGTTGATGATCGTATGAGCTATTGGACTATTGCACAGCTTATGCACAATATGCGAACCAAAACAAGAATATAAAAGAGTGCTTTATCAGAAACCGTATGGTTATTCATATCATCTAATAATTTTTTAATAATTAAAAGACAGTAAAACAATCCAACCCAATTTAGATTGTGAGCTCTATCTGAATGGTTCAAGCTGCCAACTCAAGTAACTGAACTTTGTGTTAGTCTGGAATATTTTTTTTAATTTAACTCGGCTCTATAATTTTAAAATAGAATAAAATCTATAATATAAATATTTAAATGTTATTTTAACCTAAAAAAAAATAATTAAATTCTGATTTGGCAATCTCACAATGTGGCTGAAGACAACTTGTAAGTTGCAACGTTGCCCGTCACGGTTTCCGTGCAAAAGGCCGTCCCGTGATGGAAATTCCTCCGTTTCGTTAACGCTCCGTATCGAATCCACATCGGTACTTTATCTCGCGTAATGGCGCGTGTAGTACACGTCCCCTAATACAAAATATCTCGATACTATAAATATCCATTAAAACGGAGCCTTGTTTCTGCGTGCATAGCAATTTTTCTTTCATTAGAGGCGACGAAGACTTGGGGCACGCACTGTGAGAAAATCCCAAATTCAGAATCAGATTTTCCGGTTCAATTCGTATAGGATTCCGGGTTCCGGATATCGTCGGTTGATTCTGTCTCCGTTCCGGCGGTTTTATCTTAGTCATTTCCAGCGATGTCGGTTAGTACTTCGTGAATTTTCCTCTCTTTTCGTTGTGTTTGAAGATTGGGATTGGGATTGGGATTGGGATTGGGATTGGGGTTGGGATTGGGATTGGGAGTTGGAAATGGTTTGGGCAAGATTTTGTTGGTTTAGGTTTGGAGCCGTAGTTTGTAGTTTCTCATCGGGGTTATAACGAATCAGTGCAATGTGGGGCGAAGGGATTAGATCTCTTGTGGTTTATCTTCCGTTTGACTTTCTCATTTGGAGGTTTTGTGTTTGGTTGAGATTTGCCCAATCGGTGAGTCAAGAATCGAGATTAATGTTTAAGCTAATCGCTCCATTTCTATGTTCTGATTGATTATGAGTTCATGCCATATCTGTTTCTCCTACTGAATCTGGAGCTGCAAAAGAAGCATGAATCCGAAATTAGTGATGCTTGTAATTAATACTTTGCGCCTTTAGATCATAATTTCCGGTTGGCTTGTTGATATCCATCCTTTTCTTCGCTGCACCATTGAGATTTTCATCTATTTTTTCTGGCCATAGTTGATTTTTTACTCTCTTTCTGCCTTCTGGTTATCACGATTCAGTAGTAGAAATGAATTTGTGCATCATACTGGAGATAGTGAGAGACTTCTTGATCTGTGTTTTGCATATAAATGCAACTGTTTTGTTCTGTAGCAGCAGGTTAGGACTGTTAAAGTCAGCAATGTCTCCTTGGGAGCATCTGAACGAGATATCATGGAGTTTTTTTCCTTTTCTGGTGACATTGAATATCTGGAAATGCAGAGGTTTGTGTACGATTTTTAATTCCAGTTATGATATATATTCAGTTCATTCAATTTTATGCAAACGCTAAGTGTTCTTGTGCAGTGAAAGTGAACGGTCTCAAATTGCTTATGTGACATTTAAGGATGTACAAGGAGCTGAGACTGCTGTTCTTCTGTCTGTAAGTTCACTTTGTAGACAATATCTATAGTTAACAGTAATTATAGAAGTCTTATACCCCATTGGCATTTAAGATATAACTCTCTTCGATTCGATTAATAGTGGAACTATTTGTCAGTGTTGAAGTATGGTTGGCAATATGATCGTTAAATGTTAAAAATGATGGTGTTCTTGGGTGTTATTAGTGGCAGAGCCTTGTCTAGGGAGAGGATGATGCTTTAACCTTCAACGTTATAATAGGAAGAGATTAGTAAGGGCCTTTACATCTCTTCTTCTACTCTCTTTATCTTTACCTACACCTTACATCCGACCTACCTTCGTAAATCTGCAACAGTTCCCACCTATAAATGAATATAAGAGGCTAGCCTCCGTATTAGGTGGATCGTGTTGCCATTTCATGATATATGATCTGAGGGAGCATTTGCCCCTTAACGAGTTAAATGTTGTAAGGGACATAACCTTGATGCTTCCAGCTGGAGATCAAATTTTGGCTTGATTGCTCCTTTTGTTGAGAGTTTAAGGTAGATCTTAGCTGGAAGTTTGTTCTATGTGTATTAAAATTTCCCCTTGTCCTTTTCCTTGTGATGTATTTTGTCTTGAATTTTTGTTCAGTACATTTTAAACTTGTTATAATGAATTGACTAATGACACCCTGCCATAAGAATTGCCTGAGCTTCTTAGATTAATGGGTTCAAATTCTTGTCAGGGAGCAACTATAGTGGATCTTTCTGTCAACATCACTCTGTGTCCTGAATATGAGCTCCCTCCAGAAGCTACCGCGGCACCACCTGTAAGATTCTTGGGAGCGTTGTCCCTTTTTTGGGCTGCTGTGTGTAAGCCTGTTTGTCACTTCATATGTTCTCTTAGTTGACCAGTTTATTGTCTTGATTGTGTAGGCCCCAGGAGCTAAAGAACCTGGTGCTGCTGAATCCGCCTTTCGGAAAGCCGAGGATGTGGTTAGCGGCATGCTTGCCAAGGGCTTTATATTGGGTAAAGATGCAGTCAACTCCGCAAAGGCATTTGATGAGAAACATCAATTATCTTCCACGGCCTCAGCCAAAGTTGCTACATTTGATAAGAAAATTGGGTTCACTGAGAAAATTAGTGCTGGTACATCGTTGGTGAGCGACAAAGTTCGGGAAGTCGACCAGAAGTTTCAGGTTTCGGAGAAGACTAAATCAGCATTTGCAGTTGCAGAGGAAAAAGTTAGCACTGCTGGGTCTGCCATTATGAAAAACCGATACATATTGACCGGGACTAGCTGGGTTACTGGCGCTTTCAGTAAGGTAGCCAAGGCAGCTGGAGAGGTTGGTCAGAAAACAAAAGAGAAAGTCGAGGAGTCGGAAGAAGAACAGAGAAAGAAAATGGTCGAAGATTTTGCTCAGGTTCATCTCTCGGAATCCCCTAAAGGAGGAGCAGCAGCAGCATCTGCACCCCCTGAGCCTCAACAACGCCCCAAGCCCGAACCCGCTCAAGGTCTGATTCTCTGAATTGTTGTCATGTTTGTTGATATCTATGTCTGAAAGTTCATGTAGTTGTAATGTGTACTTCCCCTTCACTTCTGGCATATCATGGTGGTTATATTTTAGGGTGAAAAAATATAGAATAGATTTCTTGCTCAATTAGTAGTCGGACTTCGATTGCTTAAGATATCTTCATTTGACAGGATGATTTAAAAACAGCAGATTTTTCCATATTGAAAAACAATTTCTGCTCTTTCTATCATTGCTATGTATCAGTGCTGTTCTGGGCTAGTTTTTGGAGTTCCAGAGACTTATTCGTGTTATGTGCTTCGAATTTTCTTTTATTTTACAAAACTTTGTTCTTTCTGCAGCATAGGTATCTAATAAGTTCTTAAATTTTTTAAATATTGTTTAGTCGAGATTTTCAAAATTTTGTATCTAATTGGTTTGTTTGAGAAGAATCTTTTTTATGATTATGTCGTTACAAGTACTTAAGAGGAATATGACATGATGGGTCAACGAAACAATGCTAAAAGAAAATCAACCCACTGGTTCAAACGATTGACATCTACCGTAGGATAAACGATGTCGAAGTACTTAAGGGGCGGATGACATGATAGGTCAACGAAGCATGCCTAGATACCGTAGGATTTAACAGATAAATCTAGTTTTCTTTGGTTTTTATGATTTATTAGAACAAAATCTATTCACGTGATAACTTAATTGAGTTTAACGAACAAAAAGTTGGTTAGTACATAAGAAATTTTATGATCTAATTCTACTCTAGTAATGAGACAAAGTTTCATCTTGATACGGTTTTAGCCTTGCAAGTGTCAGATTATTATAAAGTTAGGAATGGTAATGACATAAGAAGATATAATTAAACATCTTTAAAATTTTTAAAAGGCACATAAGGGCAACGTGCATAGTTAGGGTCGGCCTATTAAGAACCTTCAACGTTTTCAACTTTTATAGTTCTAAAAAATGTTATTTTGGTATGGGATGTGACGTTAAGACTGAACACGTGAGATAAGTAATAAAGAAAGCAAAAGGTCCTATGGGGGGCTGGGGAACATCCGAGCATAGTTAATCCATGTGGATAGTTTGAGCCGTGTTGGCAAAATGACTCTGTTTGAGGATGAATTTACTATTTTACCCCTCAAATTTAAAATTATAACATCATCAAAATTTAATGTTAAAAGGAGATTTACGTACATCGACGTGGCATGTGTAAAAAAGAATAAATAAATAAATATTGATCCAACCATTTACAATTGTTATTAGAATAATAATAATAATAATAACGAGGACATAAGCGTAATTTTAAATCCTGTGAGGGCTAACTAAACAAAGTCCAAGCTTCTTCATTTTCCCATATGGATTAGAAATCAAATTTCGCCTTCCAAATTGGCTCATTCTTCGGAAAAACCCTTCCAGATTCTTGCCGCATTCCTTAATCCTTCCAATATTTTCACCTCCGATTACGTTCATCGTTCGATCAATCACCCAGAATTCCGGCGACGACGACGAATCAGGTACGAGTTCTATACCACTCTATCTGGTAACACTTCGATTATCTCTGGCTGCAAAAATTTCGGCGATATTTGATCTCTGTTATGATTTTTACTGGGCGAATTCGTTGATTCCATTTGAAAAATATGAAGTCTGCAATTATTGTTCTGTCTTTACATGAATTGATTTCAATTTATAAGATGGTACTGTGATTAGCTTGATCGATATTTGCCGAGTCTGTTTACTATATCTTCAGCAGTATTAGCTTCAATTGTTTCACATTTCTTATTATAAACAAGTATTGTAGGTTAAACAGGATTGGTTGTTGGTGTGTGTAAACTAAAATTATGTGACTATAAACCAATTGGTGGCAAAAATCCCAGAAATGAGAATAGAGAATGCAAGAACTGAAAACGTTTAGGTTTTGGTAATAAAGATTGTTACTGTTTCTTTGTGATTTGATTGCTTCATGGCATCATATGCAATGTTCATTTGGTTCTAGAATTAAGTAGTTGTTTCTGAGACACAGATGATATTGGCTATTGAATACTTTTCCTTCATTATTTAGTAACTATGATCAAGGTCGTTAAATGGTGGCAGATACCTAAAATCCTAACATAGCCTTAAATCTATAGTTTTATTTCAAATTCAAATATCAGATTATGAAACAGTCCCTTTGTTTTGTTATGTTTTGAAGTCTCCATGAATATAACTTGGCAGAACAAAAAGGACTCTATTGTTACCCCTCTCTTCTACCTCTTAAGATTTTAGAATTTTCTTCTTCTTTGCAATTTCCCCTTGAATGCCAATAGTTCCTTCGTCTTCCTTTTTCAATTATAGAACTTGTACATGCCTTTCTCTCACATTTATAAAAATCAAAACCCATTTTCATGTCTAAAACATATTTTCTGGGTATCCATGGTCCCAATGAACTGATCTCAAGTCTTCTGGGATCCATTTCAGGTCATCCATGCCAGTGGAAGTGCATTTATGGTCCTGTTTTGCAAATTTTGAAATTTGATTTTCACACCTGGGATGTTGTATTAAAATAGAAATTTCTTGGAAAGTTATGAAACTTTTGCTCTAGGTTTTTTTTGTCTCTTATTCCCTTGAAGCTTGATTTGTGTTCTAAAGATTATGAATTGCTTGTCATCCCAGTGCATTTCCTACTTTTCACTTATACGAATGCAACTGTGAGAATCAATGATAATCCAGTTCATACGCATGGTTTTGAATTGTTCACATGGTGTTCCTCTTAGTTTGTTCAATGTGGAACTTTTCTTCTTCTTTTTCTTAATTGAAAAATCACTTCCATTGAGAAAAATAAACGAACACACAAAAGTGATATGAAACTTTGGACCAAAGGTCAAGCAGAAATTTCTAGCTGTTTAATGTTGTCTGAACAACATCCAGATGTGCATCTCCATTCTTCCAAGTACATCCCGTCTTGTGAGGTCGATGGAGTTAGTTCTGGTTGATTAATTATTTGTACAGATTAGCACAAGAATGCACGTATATCTATAATTGTATTATTATGGATTAGGTTGATCATATATCATTACTTTTTTAAAAAGGTCATACCAATCCCATAATCTTCTTTTTTCTCGATAAAAGGGAGGGTTGTATTAATATCCGTGCACAAGATCAAAATGAGTCACGATTAGTTATTCAACAATCTAGTTTAAATGAGTGAGAGATGGTATTTGAATATCCAATTGGTGCATTTACAATGACTTGTTAAGATTAATCATCTATGAAAATATATGAAAACTTTTTGGTGGAATTAGCAAATATTACTAATAAGGTTAAGGTTTCCTCTTGTCGTGAACTCTGTCTAGTAGTCAGACTGAATTCTTATATAACATGCCAAGCCAAAGCACTGCAATATGTGATAACACACTTTTTGTTTAGGGTTTAGCACAGAAGTTGTACACGGTGATCTCTATATTTATGCTATGTTTGGCAGTACGTAGTGGCTATGTAACACTTTCTATTCCTAGTTTTTATGTTTGGAAATAATGTATTGTGTTTCCTCATATGCTTTATGAGGAAACACTAATAGAGTGTTTTAGGCACAAATAATTAATGGAGAAGCAGTTTAAAGTATTTTCAAGAGTGTTCACAACTAATTCTCTAGTAAATTTGTTATTAAGTACGTGGTACTAAAGGCTTATAAATAAATACTCGATACTGATGCGAATTGTATGATAATCACAGGAAGTAATAGCATCAAAATGGAGTTAGCAGACAAGATGGTTGGATTTTTGTTATCGCTAACTAGCTTGTCGATATTCACTTACTATACTTTCTGGGTCATTATCCTGGTAAGCTTATCTTCCATGTTCATACATATTCTGCCAAAATTTGATCTCATTTAGTAAACTCCATCATGTTCGTGGTTGTTATCAACCAATGTATTTTGTTTTGTTAAATGGCAGCCATTTGTTGATAGTGATCACTTCATCCACAACTATTTCTTACCACAAGAATATGCCATCTTGATACCTGTATTTGCTGGTGTGGTTCTTCTGTGCTTATTAGCCATATTTGTAGGAATAGTGATGCTAAAGTCCAAAAAGAAGAAGGCATGAGGATGGAGTTCAGTATTGTCTGTATTTTTGATAGTTCACTTAAAAAATGTGCTGCCTCGATGATTTTCGAACCATTCCCGTATGTATTTTTGTTAGTTGATTGGTCAAAATTCTTGTTTTTCAGTATAAGATTCATTTTACTTCAATTGAAATTATTACCATTTATTTCTCCATCTCCTTCCTTCATTCTCTCTTAAGGTTATTTATCACCTAGAAACATATTTTATGCTCAATCATACATTTTTTTCCTCTATTTACAAGGATTTTGTTCAATTAGCACATCTTTTAGGCATCTCTCGTCTCTAGACAAGCAAGAAACTCAAACTCAAACTCATCGCCTCGTTCTTTCCTTGAAAACACTTGAACAATCATAAGCTTAATCATCAAACACTTGAACAATCATAAGCTTAATCATCAAACACTTGAACAATCATAAGCTTAATCATCAAATAACAGAGATTTCAAAATGTTCGAAGATCAAAAATTGTGTGTTGGGAATCTACCACCATGCCATATTGGAAACTGGAATTGGAACAAAAATCCGCCACAAAAAACCCCAGCAGTGTTTGGTTTGGACTCCAACTTTATAAGCAACCAAAAATTTGAAACCTAACACAGCTTAAACGCTGTCTTTCTTTCAAGCAAATAAACATTCAAACTTAACCCAAAATTACCATTTTCGGTTTCTTCATAACATCTCCATCATGTTGGTACAGCAGTTTTCCCTCCAAACATACAATTTGCTGTTTGTTTTTCAACCACTGCAGAAAGATTTACAAGCACACACCTTAGTTTTCCATGCTCAAATTGTTGGCAGAGGTTTGTATATAACAATGCTAACATTTTTCACAATGACCATTTTACAAAAGTGGATAGATGATCAAACATACATTAATCAAATAAGCCTTACTCTTCGATTTCAAAAGTAATAGATCAGGGAGGGACAACATAGAGCTAACACTTAATATTTGAGAATACATGTATTCAAAAATCCCTGTCATGGCGGTCGTAATCAATCCATAGATACAAGAATCCATATGTTTATATGCAGTCAATCCCTGTCTTAACATAGAGCTAATAACCCGTCGCTCGGTCCACCTGTCTTAGCGGGTAAGCAACCCTACTTTCTTTAAGAAGTCATAGATTCGAGAATCCCCTCCATTATAAAGTAAATGAATATAAAAAAAGGGGTGGGGGG